CTTACAACATTGTGCGGTAGCTTTGAGCTTGTCCGTCATCCAGATACCGAAGTCTTTCTGTATTTCTATTTCTTGGAGTGAAATTACGATTAGATGGTAGGATCGCGCATCAGGGACCGGGTTTCGATTTCTCAGACGCAGTAGTGTGCATTTGTTCGAATTGAAGGACAGGAGCCATTTGCGTGACCAATCTTTAAGTCGACAAAGATTTTTCTGGAATTCATCTTCATCGGCAGCACTCTTGATGCCCTTCCAAATTTGTACATCATCCGCAAACATGGCACACTCACAGTCCAATTCCTGTACACAATCATTAACGAAAAAGAGAAAGAGGGTCGGTCCGAGTACTAAACCTTGAGGGCCTCCGCTCTTGCTGACTGTCGGCCTTGATTGTTGTCGACCAGCGAAGAAATGCTCAATCCACGTAAGAAGTCTGCCTCCGATATCCACCAGTCTCAACTCCTGCAGGAAACGTTGGTGCGGAACACTGTCGAAGGCTTTCCGGAAATCAATGTAGGTCGCATGTGCGGTGTCTTCTGCATCAGTTGTCCTTGTCCAGGTTTGCGTCGTGTAAAACAGTTTTGTAACACATCACCTTCTCCCACGAAAGCCGTATTGCGTATTGGAAAAGCAATTGTGAGTTTCACAATAGGTCATAAATTGCTTTTTGATGATCTTTTTCATTACCTTACAGCATATGGAGGTCAGGCTAATGAGATTGTGGTTACTTGTATTGCGTAAGGACCCCTTAGACTAGCGTTCTGCAGATGAGACCGTTGACCTCTTGCGGAACTTAGGGTGGGATATGAAGTGGGGTTCACCAAAAGGGTTTCACAGTAGCCATATCAATGGCGCGGCAAATTAGCGTTTTCGCTCTACTTCATGCCAAAACCTCCGTGAAATTAGCCGGCAGTATTTTTAATTCCATCCTGGCAGTGCTTGTAACGTGGTCATATTTCGGTGATAGGTCGCCGTTAGTTGTAATTGGTAAGGCCAGCTCCTATTTTTCTCATGCCACGATCTAGCCTTCCTATCTATGGTTCCTTCCTGAATATGCCTTCCTACGATAGTCATAGTGCATTTAACAATAACTTCGCAATAAATTGTAGACCAGGGTCATTTTGTTTTCCATCTTTTTTTTCTCCCCTGCAGTTTCGTATTCCGCCACAAAGTCTTCCATTTTTATAAATGCTAATGAGGCTAACCTGCATCTCAGGGATACGCTCAGTATAGTCTTTTTTCAACGCGGGCTCATTTGTAAATAAGATGACAGAGTTTAGAACCGTAGCTTTTGAGCTTGATCCAGACGTGTTATGTGTCACTGAATATTGGGCTCACTCTCTTATTTCTGACTCGACGCTCGCTATACATACAGTAGATGCACTATCTCATGAAATCCAACGATTTTTACAAGTAACCCCCTCTTACTCA